CTGCTTTGAATATTTTCAGTTGTATTCAAGGTGGCTAATTCCTGTTTGCTTAGAAGCCTGATTTGCATGAGCTCCTTTTCAAGGAACTTCTTCCACATTTAAAAATAAAAGAAGAATCTTGCCATAAGCCCACTTTGTCCACACGGAGGCATGCCAAATGGAGAAACTCACATTAGGGAAACCCACAACCTCCTCTACTGTCATTACATAGGCTTGAGTCCTGGAATTCAGGAGTTAGTAAACAGCCATCTAATACAAATAGCCATTGATACCACGATTCTCCATGAAATTGTCCAGTTTCCTTTCAGAACCAGCCCAATTGACTGATAATACCCCAAAGAGTACATTGCATCCATGGCTAAGAGGACCTTTGGAAAGATTGTTCATGTGTGCCACTTGTGCCCATTCTTGGACTTTTCTCAAGTCACTTGTGCTTTAGTCCCTTCTTGTTTGGACTATGAGTAGATCTTGATTTACAACCACTCATTCACTTGGAAGTTACAGTGGGGCTGAAAATACGGATTTGTGGCCTGTGCTGTGCTCCTGAAGTCATGTGATTAAAATTCAAGGACTTGGCTGCTTGCTCATGCTTAGACTACAAGGGCACGTCAACTCTCCCTTCCTGCCTATCTCTTGCTTCCTGTTGGCCACCTTGCCCCCCCCTGCCTTGTGGGATGGCAAACACTTACAGAACTGCATGGCTCTGGGGTTGCATTCCATGCCCTGGGAAGATTGAGGGACCCCAGTACATGCAAGCATTCGTTCTCCCAGCTGCCTTCTCCCCCAACCTTTCACCTTTTGCACCCAGCCACTATAGCCAAAGCAGAAGCACCTTACTACCTTTATTGTCTCCTTTTTGGACCTGCAATGCGACCCCAGGCATTCCAGTATCTCTGACTCTTCAACAGTTCAGTGCTAAACCCCAGCAAGCTCCAGTAAGCATTCATTCACTCCCAGTTCTCTGCATCAATTTTTCGCTCCAAGAATATGTGTAGTAAACATTGCTGGAGAAGCTGAGTCCAAAAAGGCTTCATTCCCCCCCCCCCCTAAATTCATTTGCTTTAAAATAGTAGTAATTGATTAATTGCTGAATCAACAAAACTGGACCTCAGTTGAATACAGGTAGTCCTCAAATTACTACAGTTCTTTACTGACACTTCAAAGTTACAATGGGACTGGAAAAAAGTGACTTATGACCATTTTTTCACACTTATGACAATTGCAGCATCCTCATGGTCATATGATCAAAATTTAGGTGCTGGGCAAGTGGTTCATATTTATGACGGCTGCAGTGTCCCGGAGTCCTGTGAATCAGCTTTTGAGACCTTCTGACAAGCAAGGTCAGAATGGGGAATCCAGATTCACTTAACAACCATGTTACTTACTTAACAAATGCAATGATGCACTTAACAGCTGTGGCAAGAAAAGTTGTAAACTGGGACAAGCTCACTTAACAATTAGCAACACAAATTTTGGGATCAATTATGGCCGTAACTTGAGGACTACCTGTAATTTTGTGCTATTGAGTTACCTGTTTTTTCATCTTTCTCCTGCTCGCATCAGAATAACCAGTGCAAAGACATTCCAGCTAACTGAATGGCATGCTTTCCTTGTAGACATGCCCTGCCTTGCAGAATATAGTGATGGTTTGTGGTATCGAGCAAAACTCATTTCTTTTGTTGAGTTCAATCCTATTTCAGTTCTTGTGGAATTTGTTGACTATGGATCGACTAAAACATTGCCCGTAAGCAGGTAAACCTAAAGATGTTCTTTTTTCAAATCGCTTTATCATGATTGATAATTCAATAACTAGAAATATTGTGCTACAATAAGTGTTCCTGTTTTAGATTTAACTACATTGATCATAAATTATCAGCTTTTATAGTTTGACTTGCAAACTCTGTTCCAGGTTGCGTCAGATTCCACGCAAGTTCATGCAATATCCTGCTCAAGCATTCAGAGTGTTACTAGCTGGATTTAAACCTGCTTTACATGATTCCACAACAGAGAGAATTCCTTATTGTCCAGAATGGAGCCTAGATGCATTGTGGGCTGCAATGAACTGCTTTGAAAGCAAAAATCTCAGTGCCTCTTCGGTGGTAAGCCTTTTTAAAAAAATCCTTCTCAAGTTATCTCTGTTTCATCCGGGAACTATATATTCCTTCTATATATAAATCCTCCATTGAAGCTGCTTGGAAGAAATAAAATCAAGGAAGAAATTAAAAGCCAGGACCACATTCAGACTCCTTGATAAGTAGGATTTGTACTCAAAGCATCAAATGTTTCTTTTTCATCTTTGTGAAAGATGGCGTAAGTGTTTTGAATTTATAGTATGGTAGTCAAAATCCATTATTTTCTCATTGTTTGCTGTTTCCTGTGTCTGCATTGTGGTGAAGCACAAAGGGGCTTGAACTGCCATTGCAATCTTCCAGACTTGGTACCAAGATGTTTATTTGCTATGCCAATAGGGGAAAAATCATTCTCTCTAAATTCAAGCAGACATGTGCAAAAGCATGTAGCTGCAGACAAGATTTAGATGGTGGGGGAAAATGGGATTTCTTGCCTACATTGTACTTCTATTGGAAATATTGATATTGCTTCTGAAACTAAATTTGTTTTTTTTTAAAAAAAACTTTGCTTCTAAGACACATTCACCAGAGCACATTGTATTTTTATATGAAGAAGGACATCTATTTCATATGAAGCTTGTGGAAATGGGATTTGCAGAACTGACACAATGATAGGTAAGCAAGCAGTATTGGTATTTGTCTTTACCAGCATTTTAAAAAAAAACTATTGATCTTGCTGAAAATTTGCAAAAAATTAGAACGGATTAGAATGGATTAGAATGGATCCCACTAATTTTGATTAGTGATTTTTTTAAAAAAACTGGAATTCTTGTAGAAAATATTTTTAAACTATGTAAGCCCTATTATTTCTAGGAATAAATAAAATAAAATTGCAACTTACTTTCTTCTTGTTAACTCACGTTATAAAATCAGCCACATACAGAGGTGGATTTAAACTGAAGGTGCTAACACCTTTATCCAAATTGTAGCCTCCAAGATAGAAAATAAAAGAACCAGAAAAGAAAACTGAATTAAAAAATAAACAGGAAAGTTCAGTACAGTAAAAGGACCAATGCTTTTATATACATCTATAAAATTATGCAGTGAATAATAACTGCATTATTCAAATGGTTCTTTTTTTACAATCATTAATGCAATAAGGATTCATTAGTAATACTATGTAGAAGTTGATTGCTTGAAAGTTTGTGGGTATCTATTTTTACATTCCCAGGTATTGATACATGAGAATAATACTGTTTTTTTGTTTGTTTCAGATGTGGACTACCTCGATTAAAAAAAATTGAACTGATTTTGTATTAAAATTATCTTTGAGTTAGTTTTTTGTAAATTCTGGGAATTCTACACAGAAGTGTGAGTTTTTTGTTAACATTGTTCAAGTACTAATAGTTTAAATAAAAATAGTTGGATTTGCATCAAAATGTCTTTACATTAGTTTATGTTTTATTTAGTAAGTAGGGCTAGGGAAAATGTTTCAACTGCTTTGAACATGGAACTTCCTGACCCAAGAGCAAAAAACTGTTGCTTCAAATGTTGGGTAAAAATTCTGGGAATTAAAGTCTACAGATCTTAAAGTTGCCAAGTTTGAAGACTATCAATGTAAATTGTCCAACCACAGAATGATTGTCAACCATCCCACTTGGCCATCTAGCAAAGAAAGACTTCTGGTCATTTGTTTTGCCAGGAGTATAATTTACTGACGCTTAAATGGTTACAGAAATAGTGTAAGCTGAATCTGAGGTTTTCCTGGGCAAACAACACAAAGGAAAGTTCTCTCTTCCCCCCTCCAGCCATCTCCTGGTTATCTGCAAATGTCCAATCAGGTGCTTGTATATTGTTAAGGAAACAGGCGCTTGGTTCCCAGCTCTGCATATCGTTATTTGTCAGGTTGTCAGTTCATGAAGCTTGGATAGGTGAGATGCAGCCATGACAATGGCTTTTTAGATGTCGGTAAAACCATTTTCCACAAATAATTTCTCTACTATCACTATTACAAGATTTTTAATTACAATTAGCAAGTTTTGACCTATATTTTTATGCAGTCTTTTGTTACTGTTCCAGTATTTTCCAATTACGTCCTTAATGCAGATCAGCTCCATTATACCATATCTTAGAAGCTATTACAGACTAACAAATACATTTGGCAATACATCATCGGCAAATAATTTGACACTCAAGTCCCTATAGTAAGCTTCCAAAAATTTTGGCCAATAGTTGAAAAAAAAATCAGCTATTCCGGGTTGTTTTTCTAGGTTTAAGATTGATTAATCTTATAATAAATTTTCCTTAAACCTTTTCATTCTATTAGATTATTTTAAAAACTGTATTGGGATGATGTGATCTAATAACATGGTTTGGAATTTAGAGTTCTTTATACATGGTTGCAGTTTTTTTTTTCTTCCAGTGATTCACACCAATATTTTACTGATTAATACAAGCTGAAAATGTGCATGTTGTGCTTATTTTGAGTAACTTTCCTATCAGAAATGTGGAGATGTTAATTTTACCAAAACATTTGACAGTGTTGCCTATTAAGTTATGATAAGCAGGTTGATTATTTATTGGCTAGATGGCATGTTTATTAGGAAATTGGCTTGAAACTAATCTCAAAAAAAATCATAAAGCTTCTTTAACAAATTAGAGTGAAATATCAAATGGAATGCCACAAATTTGGTTCAAGACATGTACTCCAATTTTTTTAAGTGGAATGAATGCTTATTAGATTTGTAGGTTACACAACTGGGTGTGTAAAATGATTTGAAAATAAAAATGAAATTTTTATTTTTTATTTTTGAATTTAAAAGTCAAATGAATTATTTAGAAAAAGAAATTATTTAGTCTCTAAAAAAAGAGAAGAGGGTTTTATTCCCAATGAAGTATACAGCAATGTTAATATATAAGCATTAGACATAAGAGTTTTAAAAATAATTTATTAAGAAGTTTATCGCATGTGTACAAAGCTTTTATATTTTTATGTAAACAAGAGAACATCTAGAAAAAATAACTGCAAATGTAAATGTTGATAAATATTAAGATACAGAAAAACATAAACGTTCAGGGATGGGTGTCCATGATAACATCACCATTCTTATTTTTAACTCTTAGTCTACCAGAGGCATATTGAGTCTCTTGATGTCCATCAGCATAAACAGTTTTGATTGTGCCATCAGGATACTCACGTCTTTTGAAATCAGCTGTATGCACTTCTTGCTGACCATTGCTGAACTCTATAATCTTACTTCCATCTCTGAATTAAAATACAAAAAAATACCAATACCTTGGTCTTATTAAATTCGGCGGAAAAGAAAAATTAGGAACTGGGAAAAAGAATATGATTTTGGCCTAGTTACTGTTTGAGGTTCAATTGCTATGCAAGGTATTTTTCCATAAAATGTGCATACCTCAAATACTATTTTATGTTTCTGTTATTGATTATATCAATCTGCTATATATTTTACTTTCCCTTTTTCTCATTTTGCCACATAAGTCTATTATGCTCAGTTGTAATGACTAGAATCAGCCTAATTTTTTCAACTGTTTGCATCTCAACTGCCATCAGTCCAAGAAACTAGTTATTAATACTGGAGTTGTCAAAAATATTTGGGAAGATAAATTTAGAATAAGTCATAATTCTGGCCATAACTCTTCCTCACCCTTTTTACTCTTCAATATGGGCAAATGGCCATGGACTCAAAACAAATGGTCATCTGAAAAACAACCAGTAGAATTTGATTTATTCCCCCCACCCAGCACTTACCCTGGGTTGCTCCAAAAACCAGACTTAATGATACCCCCCTCCATATGTTTAGAATTGAATTTAGATCAAACTTTCTCTAAAATTATATTTTATCAGGGTAAAAACCTTACTGTTGCATGTGGACAATAGTGCCATCAGGAAAAATGTTTACTTCTCGCCCATCTGTGAATACATTCTTAATGGTTTGATCAGGGAATATAATTTCTTTTTTTCCATCTGGAAAATGCTTTTCTGCAATAATACATTCATACATCAGATTTCTCTTACATTGTATGTACAAAAGAAATGGAATTCATGATAACTGCGTGCAAGCACTCCCTCGTCTTACCTATCTGTCCATTTGAGAAATGGAGAACCTCTAAACCTGTAGGATAAGTGGTATGTGTAGTTTTTGCATCCGCATAATAGTATATCTGTTGAGAAAAGTTTTAAAGTTAATGTGAATGCTGGTGCATAGTTCTGATTATGTAAGACTGCCATATGATAGATACATACAACTCTCTGATCATCCAGGACTTGTTTTACATCCCCATTAAAAAAGGTTACAGTTGTAGTCTTTCCATCGCAGCTTACTTCTTTCCTTGTGCCATTAGGGAAGATAATAAGATGGCAACCATTTTTTAACACTTTTTCAACCTAAAAGGAAGCAAGCAAAAAGTTTCACTACTAATAATTCTAATCTGGGAAAGTTTAAATGAAGCGCCATATAGCTTTACTTTTGTAAAGTCACACAATATTCAAACTGCTATGCAATCCCAACATTTAAAAATAAAGAACTGGAAAAACAAATGTCTCTCTCCCCTGAAGAAATTAATCTGATTAGGATTAGGGTTTCCTCCTTAATTCCAAAAAATCATGGATACGATTTTGCAACATAAAGTCTTACTATCCTGACCCCTCCAGTCGTGGTTCAGCCTAGGTCACGAGTCAAAAACAGCACTGGTTGGCCTTGTGGATGATCTTCAGTGGATGTTGGATGGATGTGGTGTTTGTACCTTTATCTTGCTAGATCTTATGGCAGCACTCAAAGCAATCCTGGCGCACTTTTGTACCATCTAGGAGGATTACGAATCAAGGGTAGTATTTTACAATGCTTCTGCTCCTTCCTGAGTGGACAATTCCAGTGGATATTAATGGAGGAAATGTTGGACTATGGATATATTGATGATAAGGTTCCAAACGCTCAATTGTCCTCTCTTTTCTTCAATGACATGAATTTGTTGAGAGCTTGTCCATAGATTTGGGGTTGAGATATGTTTGCTTATGATAACCAGCTATATATCTCCAAACTGGAGATACAGTGCAAATTTTGAACCAAATCCTGAAGAACTTCAATAGGAAAGAGTGAAGGAGGTGATGAAGTATAAGAAGCAAGATGAAGTTCCTGTCTCTATAGACTCCTCTTAGATGAGATGGTCTCTTAAAGTGTGCAATTTGGGAGTGCTTCTATACTCATGGCAGCTCCTAAAATAAGAAATGGGGGCTATGGCAAGAATAGTCTAAAGCTGGTTTGGCATCTGGAATAGGAAGCACATCATCTCTTGAAATGGAAAATATCTATGAATCATTGCATTTACTTGTTTATTGTAAGTATTTGGATGCTGCCTACCCCACAGGATCAAGGGGGGTTACAATCATATAAAGTATACAAGTATAATGTTTTTGACTCAGTTGTTTGATCGGGTTCTCTTTATTTAGTTTTAGGGCTTGTGTGGACAGCAGATCACACGACGTTACCTTTTCCAACTCTTTTACATTTTCAGCATTTCTGAACACAGGAAAAGATTCGTAATATTTTCCAAGTAGAATGTAGCCCATCTTATATATTACCCCTGTCATGGATATACAGCAAAAAGCAAAGAGCCGAGGTGGCGCAGTAGTTAGAGTGCTGTACTGCAGCCACTTCAGCTGACTGTTATCTGCAGTTCAGCGGTTCAAATCTCACCGGCTCAGGGTTGATTCAGCCTTCCATCCTTCTGAGGTGGGTAAAATGAGGACCCAGACTGTGGGGGCAATATGCTGACGCTAAAAACCGCTTAGAGAGGGCTGAAAGCCCTATGAAGCGGTATATAAGTCTAACTGCTATTGCTATTGCTATTGC